ACTATTTAAGATACATTGCATAATTTAAGTGGAATTAACTTACAAGTGTTCTCATGTTGGTGAAAGGTACTATACTAAGTGCAAGAAAAGTTTTTCGGTGGTATTATAGGTCAATGAGGAGAGCCAAGAAATAAATTTTGTTTTGGCTTGTTTAAAGGAGCAACGTTTAATGTCACAAGCGTTAGCTACTTTATTATAAACTAGCTTTTGCCCGCGACTTCGTCCGCGTGGAATAGTGACTTCCGGCAGATTTTTGGCTCTTCCCACCTAGTTCCCGTTCTTGCGGGATTTTCGGAATGGTCGAGTTCCCGCAGAATTTTCAGGATAAAACCTATATTTTTTTTTCGAGTTTCAAACTATATCTGTACAATTTTTACAGTAAATTTAATTATTTTAAAGAACTTCTGCATATACTAAAAAAAGTGTTATTATTGTGAAACTAAATACTATCCTAAAACAAATAAAGCACCTACTATATAAAAAACAACTACAACATGAAACTGTGTTTAAAAAGTAATATTACGATGATAATTATATCGCATAAACAAATTAGCGCTGCATTCAACTGCCCGCAAGCACCGCCTCTCTCCCGCCGCGCCGGCCAGCGCAGAGAGCGAGTTGGTTTTGTTTCGGAGTTATTTATGGTTGTAATCTTTAGAGTTTTTTGTTGAAATTAAGTTATGTCAAAGACAATTTTATTCACAATAGACATTGCACACACATGCGTAGTTCAGCTACGCACAATCAACATCGCGACGCGATGCAGCGAAACGCTTAGTTAATTTTTAAGTTACCCAAATTTTTAAACTCGCTATATCTTTTGAATGGAGTATCCGATTAAAATAATTTAAACAGCAATATAAAGGTACTGAACTACTGTTAAATAAAAAGTAAGTTAATTAGGTAAGTATAAATACTATGGTATGAATATCGACATCTTATTTTCGTTGCCGACTTAAATAGTTTGTTAAACTATAAAAGTTTTTATATTGGCGTAACTATAATACTTAGATATACACTACCGCGGACTTTTATGTATAGTAGAGGATCCCGATATAAGCGACCTTCACCGAGATGTTTATTTGATGAAACCTATTTTATATTCAATTTAATATGTCAATAACTATATTACATATGGGTTGCCTCATAAATTTTAGTCCAGGATATGATTAATTAACAATTAAAAATAGATTTTTTTTCAAATATTTCACCGGTTTGTTTATTAGATAAATTCCACACCAATCGAAAGTACGGAGCCCATAGAATATGAAAACGTTAGGTTGCCTATTCTTTTCCAGTCACAACTGTCGGGTTGCCAGGGATAAACAGGTAGATCGATAATAGCATTTTGCACCGGTCTGATAATTTAATCAAATTTAAATGAAAATAAAGATTATTTAATTATGAACACGGTGAAATAGGGTTGCCTGCGAAAAATCGGTCCTAAATTAGGGTTGTCGAATTTTAAAAAGTAAAATATTGCCGCGAGTGAATATGTACGACTGAGAGGTCCCAAGCAACTGTTCCGTGCGTTAGAAGAGGACAGAGCATAACAGCTGCGTAAGGTCTTCCCATTTAAAGAATTTTCATTTTTTTTCATTTTTTTCGAATAAAAAATATTACTCTAAATTAGTATTACATATGTATTGTTATAACCTTCTTATTAACTATATATGTATATATATATACTTTAATGTCACATTAAATATATACACATAAATAATTAATTAAATTATGTAATATGAAAGAACTATTCTTCTATTTTTAATATAATAATAATACATTACTCCAAAATGATACACAGCTATTATGCTCTGTCCTCTTCTAACGCACGGAACAGTTGCTTGGGACCTCTCAGTCGTCCATATTCACTCGCGGCAATATTTTACTTTTTAAAATTCGACAACCCTAATTTAGGACCGATTTTTCGCAGGCAACCCTATTTCACCGTGTTCATAATTAAATAATCTTTATTTTCATTTAAATTTGATTAAATTATCAGACCGGTGCAAAATGCTATTATCGATGTACCTGTTTATCCCTGGCAACCCGACAGTTGTGACTGGAAAAGAATAGGCAACCTAACGTTTTCATATTCTATGGGCTCCGTACTTTCGATTGGTGTGGAATTTATCTAATAAACAAACCGGTGAAATATTTGAAAAAAAAACTATTTTTAATTGTTAATTAATCATATCCTGGACTAAAATTTATGAGGCAACCCATATGTAATATAGTTATTGACATATTAAATTGAATATAAAATATGTTTCATCAAATAAACATCTCGGTGAAGGTCGCCTTATATCGGGATCTTAGACCAGTAGATAATAATGTTGTCAACAAAATCGTAGTACATTATTTTGCTCCATCATCAATAGTTATTGCAGCGCACGCGATTTAAGGTATTTCAATAGTGATTTTTATCGCCCGTGGTTTATGTTATCGAAGTTTTCGCTAGGATCCCTAATTTTTTTTTAAATAAAATATAGCCTATGTTACTTTGGAAAAATGTACAATCATAATGGTGAAATAATTTTTAAATACGGTCAAGTAGTTTTTGAGCCTATTCGTAACAAACAAACAAACAAAAAATATTACCTCTTTATAATATTAGTTTAGATCAGGGGTTCCCACCCTTTTTTAGTTCCGGACCACTTTTATATAATTCTTGTTAGCAGAGACCACTATGTAAGTATAATAAAAATAAACTGTAATAATCAAAATGAAACTTTAATTAACAAATCAATAGGATATTACAAAAAAGGAAATAATAATATTTTTAGGATAAACTTCTGCAAATTTGTATTAATGTGATTTCTGAGCTTGCATTTTCTTCACGAGTTCAGCTATTCTAGGACTAATATTGTTACTCAAAGCTTACTTCACTTACTTTCAAACGATTCCTCGCTTTGTTTTTAATTACCAATAAAGCAGAAAATGCTTGTTCACATAAATAAATAAATAACTTGTTGAAAAAATCATAAAATAGCGCAAGGCCATTTCTCGAAGTTTAACATAAGAAATGGCTTTTTTACACCAAAACGACTCAAGACTCACCGCCCGCTAAATTTAAAATCATTCGCGGACCATATTTTGGCTTCTGCGGACCATTGGTGGTCCACGGACCACTGGTTGGGAACCATTGGTTTAGATAAAAGACTCAATGAAGGGACTGAAGCGTCCAGCAAAAGATGTCTTAATTTTGGGTAAGGGGAGCCTATAGTCCCGACGTTTGAGTAAAATTTTGAAGTATTTTGAAGATACAGTTGTGTGATGAACTTTAAGTGCGATTTTTAATATGTATAGTTGGCGTACAGTTAAAACTTCGCTTTCCTGATAAAGCTTGGTTGTTGAATAACCAAATGGTTTATTCAACATCGTTTTGAGCACTGATCTTTGGGCTCGTTCGAGATGAAATAAATGCGTTTTACAAGCGCTTCCCCAGGAACTAATGCAGTAGGCAATCAGTGATTAACAGAGAGCAAAATATACGGCCCGCGAAGTGCTTAATGATGCCGACCTGCGAAGTATTTTCATAATATTTATGACTTTGCGGACGGTACCAGAAAGAGATTTGATGTGATCTTTAAAGTTAAAATTTTGATTTATAAGATATCCATGACAACTATTTTGGTCAGTGAAACACAATTGCATTTGCCACAGGTGTGAAGTTTTAATTTTAAACAGATATAATTAGTTTTATATTTATTTAGCGTAAGGAGGTTTTGAGACAACCATGTAGATACGTGTCGTATACCTTCTTCAGCTTTTTCAAAGACCTCAGACCAAGTGGATCCTTTATAGATAATAACTGTGTCATCTGCATAACAGATTATTTCACCGTCTACGTTAGCGTGTATGTCATTCATGTACATGATAAAAAGCGTAGGTCGAAGAATGCTGCCTTCGGGAATACCAAAATTGACAGTTACCTGATCACTTTCGTAACAGCACTAGAGTAGTGCAGTGTTTCCTATCCGTAAGGTAACTTCTAAACCAATCTAGTACTACACCCCGTATACCGAATTGTGATTCGAGCTTTCCTAAAAGTAAGGGTATCGAGACGGTGTCAAAAGCCTTGGATAGATCCAAGAATACAGCAATACTAGGCTTGTTATCATCTACGTTAGATTCAACTGTAGATGTAAGCAAATTTACCGCGTCTCCTGTAGACTTTCCTATTCTAAAACCAAATTGCCTGGAGGAGATCAAGTTGTTAGCCTCAATGTAGTTGTTCAACCTTTTACTAACCATCTTCTCAAGTAGTTTTGAGAAACCGGACAGCAAAGAAATTGGACGGTAGTTTTGCGGGGAATCTTTTGTGCCAGTTTTATAAATTGGTTTGATACACGCCATCTTCCACTTTTCGGGAAAGATACCAGTCTCCAAACTTTTGATAAATATAATTGTAAGAGGCAGAATAATAACGTCTTTTATTTCTTTTAGAAGACCGTTACTTAGACCATCGATACCAGGAGCTTTATCATTTTGAAGTGAGGTAATTAAAGACTTCAGTTCATATTCGTTAATCGGTTTTATAAAGAAAGAGTTTAGCACAAGTTCTTTTGGATAAATTTTCGATGTCAACTTTTTTTCATCTGTTTGTAAATTATTTAAAATACCACTAGCTAGATTATGACCTACAGTTGAAAAATATAAATTGCACTTGCTTAAAGAATCTTTAGCGTCAATAAATTGATAACACTGTGACTTTATCTGGTATTTGGATTAATAAATTAGACAACTATAAATAAAAATTATATGAGTATTATTTATGTTCCTTCTAATATAAGACATTAAAAAAGAGAATTGTATACTAGAGTTTCAGGTAAATGGAAATGGAATTTTGTAATTTTTTGGCTGTAAGGATCGATGGTCATTGATTTTTTAACTTATATTATGAAAAAATTATGTTATGCCGCAATGTCACTTTTATAGGTTATGTTATTGTTTTTGAAATTGTAGGTTAATATTATGTTTATGTAAATACCATTGTAATGTATCATATTTTCCGAATAAATAAGTTACGTAGATATAAGAAATTAATATATTTAATAAGTGATGTCAAAGAAATACATAATATAGGTTTAAATGATATTCCTAAAGTTGAAGTAGCCGATATTCGAAAGTTATTAAGGCAAAAAGGATTTGCAGTTCAGGATGGATTTACTTCGATTACTACCAAATGTATAATATGTTCACAAGAAAAAATTGAGTCTAAGAAAAATGAATCCAAGCTCTACGTCAATAAAACAACAGGTAAATAAATTGCACCATATTTCTATCTGCGAAAACAATTACTTTGATTACACTTTTGTTAATGTAATCAATTAATATATCTAATTATCTTTAAATTCTCAGGTTACTTTTTATGTCCAAAATGCAATAATCACGGTCATTGGAGCCTTCTGGAGCGCCTCGTAAAAAAGTCAAAAATTGAAGGGTCTGTAAAAGATCACATAGAAACTACGCAACAGAAACTGGAGGCTTTTAATAAAGACTGGCAAACTATTTGCAATGAAACTACCTCATTAATAGATTTAAATGAAGCAGATACAATAAATTTATTCCGTTTATTTGAATTTCCTGTAAGTTTAATATTATGAAATACGAAAATCTATGGCATGGTATTGTTTGTTTAGTCTTAGATTAACCCAGACATGTGTCTTTCAACACTATGTTTGATTTAAGACATGTCTTTTTCAATTACTTGAGATAAAATAACATAACAGTTTTTTTTGGAGAATACCATTAAAAATATCTGTATATACTTAGTGTAGAGGTAATATTAATATAACTACTACTATATAAAACAGCGGATAAATCTTTAATCCCTCACATTTTGGTCTTCTACATTTTCAGCACCATCCAGATGCCACAAAAGTATTATCTGATGTAAGAGTGACTTCGGATCACACAATATTATATTTCCCATTAAAAAACTCACTTGAAAATATTGTCGGCTATCGGAAAATACAGGCTGGGAGGGAAGATGAGATTGAAAATGTAGGTTTACATATGGCTGGTCTATTTCATTGTAGAGCACCGAAACTAACTCGGACAGATCAGGCAATACTTGTACCGACTGTACAAGATGTTTTACATTTGTCTGCAAGTAAAGTACCAGGTGAGAATTGAAATTAATTTTAACTACATCTTTATTTTTTATATTTCAAGTTCATCAATTTTCAACTTATCTATATGAAATTTATATTAATAATAATATGTTTTAGGTACCCTAATCTGGCTCACTAACTGTAGCTTGCCGCCAGTATTACTGCCTTGTCTTGAACATTATCAAAAGCTATGTCTGTGGGGTGATTGGGAGAACATGAGATCGGTTGCTGAAAAGCTCGGAGAGGAAAGGTGTCGTTTTGTAAGGTGAGACTAAGTATTTACCGCTATTATTAGGCAATAGGTAATTACACATTATGAACTACTTACTACTAACTATAGGCCAGTGCAGATGCCTTTAAAAACAATGAAAAATGAATATAAATTATAGTAGAATGAAACCCGTTAGAAAAGGAGGGGAATATTATAAAAATTAAAGGAAAAATAATCTACGGGCGATCTGAGGTCGGGAAGGGTACGGGGATGGGTATTTAAGGGTAAAAAATGAGTTTTCTCGATTTCCGGCAAAAACTAAAAGTCCTACAGAAAAAAATTATATGGCAAAGTTGTAGGTAATAAAAAGATCTAAAACTTTTGTAGTAACATTTTTTTCACATAACCTCATTTTTTTTGTGAAAAATTCGAAAAACCAAGTTTTTGGTTTTTTATTTTTATCTCTTCCAAAAATCAATTTTTTGTCACGACATTTGGTGTAAACTTTCATTTTGATGTTTCAATTTGTTTGTTATGCTGCTAAAACTATTAAAAATAAATTAGAAAGAGCATTTTCAAAACGATGTCGAGTGTAATTTCATTAAAAGGGACATGAATATTTTAACGAAAATTGGTACTGCAAGTAAAAAACTTATATTTTTTTCTTCACCATCGGAAAATAGAGATTTCAACGAAGATAAAACACACATTTTTTTTAAAAAAAGCTGATATTTTGACGGGTGATTTTTCAATAGAAAATGAGGCTGATTTTTTAGTATCTATTTAAAATAAGCTGAAAAAATAAAATTTCTTATCAAATAAATTACAGTGCATTTGAAACATCAAAAGGAAAGTTTTCACCAAATTTCATGACAAAAAATTGTTTTTTGGAAGAGATAAAGATAAAAAACCAAAAACTTGGTTTTTCGAATTTTTCACTTAAAAATGAGGTTATGTGGAAAAAATGTTAATATAAAAGTTTTAGATCTTTTTATTACCTACAACTTTGCCATATAATTTTTTTCTGTAGGACGTTTAGTTTTTGCCGGAAATCGAGAAAACCCATTTTTTACCCTTAAATACCCATCCCCGTACCCTACCCAACCTCAGATCGCCCGTAAATTATTTTTCCTTTAATTTTTATAATATTCGCCTCCTTTTCTGATGGTATTAATTCTACTATAATTTAATTATGTTTTAAAAGCTATAGGCACTGGTCTACTAAATATAATTTGTGAAATCATTTGATATTTTCATTTATTTCAATTTGATATTCAATTTATTATTGTCAATAGACCAACAGATGGTTTAGTAACGGCAACTGAAGCAGCTAAAGCAAATTTATCTTTAAAGACATTAGTATCAGAAGCTAAGCCAGCGACACATAGATCCATCACCACCTTTGCTTCTCTTAGAGATGATGTGTATGCAGAGCTTACCAACATTGAAAAGGTAAAATATTATTCATATGTTAAAAGGTACATAATACATAAGTGCTTTTTAGTAAATAAAGAACCAATTGCAATCTTCTAAACATTAAGTATGATATAAAAAATATTCCTGTTTTTTTCTTCCTGAAAAATTATAATCAAATTTTAAATAATCATACCATTACATTAATTCAAGTCAGTCAATGGAGAACAAGAAGGCAAAGCTTACAAATTCTCTTAAAAATATCCTTACAAGTTTCTGAATTTTCTGAAATAATAAAGAAAATTAAACGGCAAAATTTTTGTTCTTCCATGGTCAAAAATAGAGGTAACCTTCCTTCCAAATAACTGCCAGCTATTTTTGTAAACCTGTGTAATGCTTTTGTTGCAGGTTCGTGGTGTTAAATGGCGTCGATTCCCCGCTTTAACTAAGTTGTTAGGTGGTCATCGTCGTGGGGAGTTGACCGTCTTAACTGGACCCACCGGCTGTGGAAAGACCACACTTTGTGCTGAAATGTCCCTCGATCTGGCATTACAGGGGGCAAGTTTTTGAAATTCTACGATATGCTTAATAAGGAATGTCATATGAGTTTGCTATATTCGGGATTATGTTGACTTCATATTCATACCACCAGCATGTTTTCAATTAGATTATCTGATTTATTACGTGTCATATTGGTAACAATATATCATGTAAATTGTAGACCATTACAGAATTACATTATAGAAGACTAACTATAAATGGTTGTCTTTCCAGGTGACAACCCTATGGGGTAGTTTCGAGATCCGCAACTCTCGTCTCGCCCGCACAATGCTCCAACAGTTCGCTGGACTACCTCTAGAACAGAACCTCCAGGACTTCCCGAAGTTTGCGGATGATTTCCAGAAACTTCCGATTTTCTATCTCGCGTTCCACGGACAACAGTCCATTAAAGTTGTGATGGAAGTAAGTACTAAATATCGAGATATTGATATTATTTTATTTTTAAAACCTTTAGTGATCATAGAAAGATGAATAATATTTTTGCATAGTTAATTTTTGATTATTATAAACAGTTATACAGGTTTTTTTTCATCCCTCAGAGTATAAATAGTCTCCATGTGTTTATCATTTAATTATATAGTATAATAGGATATATTATATGTAATCTGATGAATTGAATGCTGATAATTATTTAACATGATACTAACATTTAACTTTTAATATTCTTTATATATTCCTATTTAGTACTTAAGTTTCATGTAATTGTTGACAATTTGCCAATATTATTAATATAATTGATAAAATTTCAACATAAACAATTATACTTTCTATAAACTATTGTAACTCAACCCATATAAGTATTACTTAAGTTTGATTATAATATGATTGTCCCTCAAGGCGGTGGAGCACGCTCGTTATATGCACGACATATGTCACGTGGTGATCGACAACGTACAGTTCATGTTGGGGCTCGGAGACGAGGATCGTTACTTGAGACAAGACGCCGTCATCGCTGCCTTCAGAACTTTCGCCACTGCAAGGCACTGCCACGTCACACTGGTGATGCATCCGAGGAAGGTTAGTGCTGGCCTTGAAGCTGTAGTTACAATGGTTTTGATAGAAACCGATAAGTGGCTTTCGAGTGGCCCAACACTAGTCAATCTATATACGAACACACAGTGATAGGTGACTGATAATGGGTACAATTCAAATTTAAATACTGCGCTTGTTAACAAAAAGTATATTTGATAATATAATGTAAATCCCATTCAGTATTTGAATAATAAAAGTTTTAAAGATAAAAATAGCCCAAGCTTCGATTTGTCACCAAAAATAAATTTCACTCTCTAATGAAGAAAAATTAACACAACTGGCGGTAAATATGTATTCCAATCTGGCAACACTGCTCTGAAGTTGAAAATATTGTCATGTGAAAAATATTAATTATACAAATTAAGTTACATGTTATAATGATTGCAAAATAAAAAAATATGTATATTTAAATGTTAATTTAAAACGAATCCAGAAGGTTGTAGTAAGTAATCGATGATTGAAAGTAATTATTATGAAATTAATATTTATTATATGTTCAGGAAAGAGATTCAGAAGATCTATCAACGAGCTCAATATTTGGCAGTGCCAAAGCATCCCAGGAGGCTGATAATGTTTTAATAATACAGGTAAAAACTTTTATGGTTAAATGTATTTCACATTGTTTCTAAACAATAAAAACGCCTATAGAATTAATAGGATATAGGAATGCTAACCGTCCTTTTGTCCTAGGACATTTCCTAGTTTTCGTAATGCCCTGGGACGCGGACATCCTGAATTGTTTTTAAGCCAAGTCTTGGTTTTTTAAATTTTAAAATTCGCGCGGTTCTTCTCAAATTTTTACGCTACGAGTTTCCTATCGGCTCGCTAGTAATTGAATTGTGTACTAAATGCACCTTTAATGAACCTTTAGGGAAAAGGTTTCACTCACAAAGAAAGTGATTATTTTAATTACTTGAATTGCATTTCACCTGGCTTTACTAGATATTTTTGTAACTATTGCAACCCTACCCTATTTTCAAACTGAATTGTCCTGGTTTTGTCAGTTTCAAATCCTGGTTATTTAAATTTGAGGTTGGCATTCCTACGCTAGCTAGCTAGCTATAATAACTTACAAACACAATAAAAACTTACAAATCTAAATGCTATCTTTTTATGTTAATTTGTCTTCTGATAAAAGGAAATTCCCACCATCTAATAGAAATAGAGCAATTAAAAATTCATTAAATCGTCAGAAGACACATTAAAATTGTATGAAGTATTATTACCTCATTGAAAGTAACGTATGTTTTTATAGTGATTAAGTCAATAATTGTATATTCTAGACCTTAGCGCCTTTCAGTGCCCTTATCATGGGTTTAAATCGTCAAAATACATAAAGACAGTTTCTTATTTCTTATTTAGGTACATAAGTTCACACAAGCCCGTGATAATGGTCATGATTTATAAAGAATCTTTTAAAGTAATTGAAATAGTACTCCTCCACTTGCAATGAACGACGATTTTTATAAGAATCATGTAAAATACTTACAAATAAACATTAATATTTAGTCTAACATAAATATTGTGCTGACTCTTAGACTACGTTTATTCAATAGATAAAAATTATGTAGTTCAAATGAATTGTAACAATTATAATTTTAGGATAAAAGATTGACGGCGGTACGTGGGAAGAAATATCTGCAAGTGGCAAAAAATCGATACAGCGGTGACCTTGGGATCGTTCCACTCGACTTTGATAAGGACGCGCTCAGTTATCAAGCTAAGAAAAAGTCGAAGAAAGACGACACAGAAAAATTACTAGACCAGTGTATAGAGGAATTCACATTGGATAAAACAGAAATGAAATTGAGGAATAATGCAAATAAATCAAATAAAAACCAAAAAAACAAAGGCCAAGATAAGGACGCTGATAGCTTTTTAAGTGATATACTTAACTTGAACAGAACTAGGTGATAACATGTTAACAGTATTTTGTATTATTATATGTTTATGATGCATTTTAATATTTGTAAAATATTTGATAAAATTTCAATACAACATTTTGTAAAGATGGAAAAATAAATACTAGTAAAAGATAGAATAATTTATTTTTTTATAATACAATCTCTTAGCTCTATGTCAGCAGTAATGTGTGAATGAACTGCAATACAAGTGGGAGCAACACAATCACTATAACCGTCATACATTGAGATAACACCAGTTACTGAAACATTATACATACAATAATATAATATATACTACCCATAGTATATAAGATGTTAACTTACAACTAAATGAACTAACTACAATAATTAATCCTTATATTAAAAATATATTAATTTGTCCTATGTTCATAAAAAATATATATTTTCATAAATCACAATGATATCGAATGAATGACACAGATCACTTATTTATTATATTATTCATAAGTAAATTAATTGTAGCAGCACATTTGTATTTAGCATTACAATATGTCCTATGATGCCGTTTAAGTATACAAATAATCTAATTTTCTTAAAATCAATTGGAATATAAAGCAAATTCAATGTGAATAAATATAGTCACCAAAAGAGCATGATTAATGGCCACATGTGTTAACAAAACAAAGTTATATATATAACAAATGAGGTCAAAGAAAACAATGACACCAGTTATCAGTTTTAGTTTGCTGCATAATTATTATGTTGAAATTTATTTTATCAATTGATTATGTGTATCAAACATTAGTGCATCACTCGATCTGTCCTGTCTCCTCTTACATTTAGGACATGGAGTGTTCTCATTGAGACATTTAGAATGGAAAACACTAGAACATTCATCACATCTATATGTGGTGGCTGTCTCAAAGGGATATAATATTTTAGAATCTCGGCAAACTTCACATATGAAGCCCTTCTGACTGCACAGCCAGCAATCGAGGACATGTGATTTTGCGAAGCTCACAACTTTCTCTAGTTGCAGAGCTAAAGAACCATTGGGTATTTGAGCTAAATCAGATATAGTATATAAATGGACGTGATCATATAAGTACTCTCGCGGCCAAACCCTTTTCTGTAGTTCCTCAATAACAGGTTCCCGACATGTGAATATGTATGCTCTAAGAAAGTTTAATTGTATTCTTAGTTCTTGTAACTGCGCCATATCAGAGACACCACTATATATTTTAGGGTTTAATTTCTTCATATCTATCCATGGATGATGTTGAAATTCTAACAAAAATATAGCTGATTTCCTTGAGACAGGATACCTTTTGAAATCCCAATTGTGAATCACTCTTGCTGGGATGATAAAAACATTTGGATCCATACAGTTAGAGCAATAATACTCTCCAGTAAAACCACATACTTTTGCCTTTGACACTGTGCTTCCTAATAAATCCTGACAACTTTTACATTGATAATTTTGGAAATCTAAACCTTTTTCTCGAGATAATGTTCCAATTTGCTTGATCATTGCTTGTAACTCTTGAGGTGTAAAGGAACCTGTTGTAGAGTTGGAAACTACTTCAAAGTCTAATCCTTGCAATGTTAAATCTTCTGATACAGGTGTTTCAACTTTTAGTTCACAAATCTCAGAATCATCTGTTGTGAGTTTAAGTTCTTTGTGGATATCTTGCATAATGTCTCTTAAATTGGGAGTGTTGTTACATCCATCACTGTAAATATTTGAGTTGTCTACAAGTGAGGATAGACTTTTCAATTCAGGAGTCTTTATCATGCTACTGCCATGAGAAGAATTTGAGTTGACAGAAGTATTTAAATCATCATGACTATCATTAGACCATCCCTTGCCACAGAGTGAATTGCCAGTAACAATTATATCCGCAGGGGTGACAAATTCTCCAGAATCAATTGAAGACGAGTATACATTAGCTTGACCTGTTTCCTGGCTCGTTGTAGGTTCCATATCTAAAGGTTCTGATGCAGTTTCCAAATTTGAATCCTCTTCTTTTTGTCTATCCTTGTGCAAAGAGCTCTCATTTTCTTTAGTAACCTGATTTGGACTGCTTTCTTTAATTTGCTGTTTATTTATATTTTCCACCTCATTTTTGGTTTGGTCACTTGTCACATTATGAATGTCTTTCGCTAAAATGAATTCAAGTGCTTCATCCTCACTAAAGGCAAGCATTTTTCCTAATCCAGTAATGTTAGAATTGTGAGTTGGTGTGGTCGCTAGTTTTGGTTTAATTTCATCTGTTAAAGTGCTTGCCACATCTAAGCCAGCACTGATTGGTGCTACTCTCATTGTAGGTACCCATATGCCTGCCTGCATCAAAACTTGCTCGGGCCATTGATTGAGCAAACTAGAATTGATTGGCAAATTAAACTGGACACATGTTTCCAATCCTTCAATAAGCTTCTGAGCCATTTCAAGTATTTCTGAATCACAGACAAAGGCACTTCTGTTATAGAAGGGCTTCACCGCTGATATGTTTTTTAGTAAAGTTGACATGTAGGAAGATAATAAACAATCATTTAGAGCAATTCTGAGCCATGCTCTGCACTGGCCTATTTCTGTGTTAATTTGAGGCAAAGCAGATATCTGATCAATATTTTGTCTATGTGACAACACCAGAACAAGGGGCCAGAAACTTGACTGAGGCCTATAGTCTGGGTCACCAGATATAACATTTTTAGCTTTTCTTAGGAAAGTGTCTTTCAAACCATGAAGAAATACAGCTTCTAAGGCCATACACAAAGTATTAGTTGAATCAGTGGAACCAAGTACACTATGAAAATTTTCTTCAAACTGACTGTTATATTGGATATCCTTTACACACTCCGACAAATTGTTAATAAGTGATTCTTTAAGAATTGTATCGCGACTCCGAATAGTAAAGCTTGATGTAACATTCTTAAGAAACGACATGTTGTTTCACGAATAATCTTAATCGTAGTCACAAAAAGAGAATTACTATCATCATATGAGTTGAATATATTAATTATTATGAATAGATAAATTTCAAGTTGAATATTTTGCAAAACGCCTCAAAGTAAATAATCACATAGATGATAAACACAATTACTATGCTCATTCAATATTAAACAATAATAAGCACTGATTGTCAGTGTCAAAATTGTTGCGAACAGATGTTGTTTGTTTTTATCTTGACCTAATGATTTATGTAGTAACCATTTTTTTTATACACAACTTTCTGTTGCCATAAAAAGAAATTTAATTGGGAGCCAGACTATTGAAATGGCTTACATCTTATGTACAATACTAAATATGATATTATTAGTAATGATCGTTCTTGTGATATAAGTATCGATATATTGTATAGCTTTACTAAATATTCCACTGTTTTGACAGTTGACACTGCTGATACAATTACATGATAAGACTCAAAGACTGTGGTGCCGATCTAAAATTCTAATACAATTAGATAGAATATATGTAAATTAATCTTTTCAATAATTAATAATTTGTGCCTTAATATTTTATATAGACTCCTTTTTGTACAGAAGGCATGCTCAATATATTGTTATTAATTCTTATTTATGCTCCAAGTTCATGGTTCATCCTTGCGAGAGAGTATTACGATATAAAAAAATCTGGACAAGGTATTTATTGCAGCGAAGTGTTATATATTTTAGCAAAAAAACAAGCTCAATTACTTGTTGCTTTTCAGAATTACTTTTGTGTCGCAAATGCGGTGCTGATGTGGCCGACTCGTACTATTTATTTAGCAAACATAGTCCAGGAGTGAAAAAATCAGATATACAAAACTTATTTGGGCAACAAAATGTGACTGTCCAAACATTAATGAACCCATTTGGAATTAAATTTGACATTGTAACTGCAAAAAAAGCTAGATGTTTGAATGTGGGCCCTGTAAGTATAAAATTTTTCTTTTTATAATGCTTATTTATGAGACAAATGAAGCAAGTATGTTTATAAAAATAACCACACTCATTAACCTCATCAATAACAATATCTCAGTTTAATTCTTTTCAAATCATTGTCAATATGATAATAAATAAATTGTCAATAAATGGAACGGCAAAATCTTGAAAGTTGATATCAAGAGTTGACTTTACTAACTCATATTAAACTTGCAACCTATAATAAAATAAAAATTATTGTCAATACTTAGGCAGAAGTGAAGAATATTATTGTATTATTTTAACAAATAAGACTTTTGCAGAGCCAAGGGGCAGATTCTTGGTTTCCTGGCTACACTTGGAAAATATGCACATGTCCACATTGCGGGCAACATTTAGGTTGGACATTTGAAAAAGCTGATAAAACTACTATTAACAAGGAAAAAGACAATGTGACTTTGTTTCATGGACTTATATTAAACAATATTCTTGGAGAAAACTGTAAGTCAAATCGACAATATAGTTTTTATTTATAAAAAGCTGGGTCCAAAGAACTTTTTATTAATTTTCCTCATTACTGGTTTGTGGTATTATTATACTATTTATACAGTGTACCTAGTATTTAAAAAAATTGTTTACCATAATGTAAGCAGTTTTTAAAATGTAAATATTTACAGTTAGTGAATGTTACAGGTAGAGGTATTTGCATATTGTTTAATGGCATTCTTGAAAATTGTTCAAATTTTTGATGCACTGAGGTTAAATATTTTTCTTGCAGTGTAACTACTAATGAAAATTTAGAAATATATATATTTTATAAGTATTGTTCAAAATATACTGACATAGTTATTTCTTTTTTAGTTACAGATTCACTTATAATGATGCCAAAGATGTATAAAATGTGATTGAAAATGGTTGTTTTTGAAGATACATGGACAGAAAGAATTCACTGTGAAGATTGTTTATGACTGAATATTAAAACCCTTATATTTATAGATTTGTTTTTAATGTCGTTTTAAGAAATAACAATATCCTTAGTAATAAAATTATTCTTACATCTAAGTTCTAAAGTCACAATTGAAAACAGGATAATTGGAAAGCTCTTTTACACATTAATTGTTTTTGTTATCAAGACAAACCAATACAATATACATAGCTAATAAAAAAACTTGTTTAGTATAAATGAAATGCAAGACTTTATGAATACTGATTAGAAAAAAACACAAAAATAAATTTATTTTCTTAATTTTAATTGTACTATATGTACAAATTTTTTATATTTATATACCCAGTGGATCTATGAACTTCCAAATCTTTGATGTAATGTTTGCTGTGTAGCTGCCGGGGTCGGTGTGAAGTTTACACCACTTGGTACCTCGGTATTATTACCTGATCCATATGTTTTACCCTGAATAGCTGCAATTTCTTTCTGTAATGCGGGGTTCAGAACTTGTTTATTCACAAAATTTCTTCCGACACCCCGGTTCCCTCCTCTACCGCGGCCCCTGCCTCTTGATCTCTTACTGGAGTTAGAATGATTTGATCTGTTTGATTGGTTTGACCTGATTGATCTATTGGACCTGTTTGAACCTACAGATTTAACACTGCCTGGCCCTCTTCTTGTATTATAACCACCAAATTCATTATTAAGTTCTGCTAACATTTGTTTGTTCAAATATCCTGCATTTCCAGCACTGTTACGACGTCTTCTACGGAAATCATTTGCAATGCTAACAGTTAACTGGGAAGCAGAATTCAATGAGTTATTCCTAGATCTTGTAAATGTTTGCGTCCTAATGACATTATTTTGCATAATATTTTGTCTTTGTTCTTTTAGAATTTGATCAGATCTTAATCCAACAGAGCTATATCTATTCCGAGTAGTGAGACCTCTGCCTCTCTTAGAAATCCCTCTTTTAGCAACAGCTAAAGGTTTATAATTGTTGGTTGGGCCACTAGCTCTTCTGGTATTAATGCCAAGTCTACTGTGGACTCCACCTCTAGCTTGTTGAAAAGAATTTGATCGTCTCAGTCTCAACTGGATTCCACCTTAAAAAAAAATACAATTTAAAATCCAAAGACTTCTAGCCGAAAATATAAAAAAGAAAAACACTACCTCGTTTTCCTCTATTTGAATGGACTAATGGTGGCATAGTAGTTACTGGATTTTCTAAGCCAGCTCGGGATTTTGGTGTCATACTTCTAACTTGAGATCTGGATCTAGAAGCTGATCGTGTTCTGGGATTGGAGAAACGTCGTTGTCGTGATCGAGATCGTGCCCGTGACTGTGAGCGATCCCGCGTTTGGGAATTGTCTTGTACACGAGATCTTGAACGAGACCGCCCCTGTCTGGTGTTTGAGGCTCCTCGTGACGCAGAGCGACCCCGGGCTGCACCACGGCCGCGACCTCCACGACCTCTTCGCCCACCACGACCGCCTCCGCGGCCTCTTATATTCCCACCGCCTCTACCGCGAGTTCGACTGGCTCTGCTTTGTTTTATTATTTCATCTAAAAAGTATTTCACATTAAATAAATATTAATAGTTATTTTATCTATCATTAATGCCATATAATAATAGTAAAATTAAGATAACTCAAAACTTCTGTTTATAACTCACCAAGCGACATATTTACTGTATCAGTCATTTTGAATTATTTTCGAATAGCACCAAAACTTCTTAGAAAGCAGTTTGCCTGTGTTAGCTTGGTTTTCTTTAAATTTTATCCTGAGCACTTAGTTTTTCAATATATTAATTATAACTTTTTACTCATATTATTAGGACTATTCACTTTCCGCCTAAAATAGACATTAAACATTGTCCATGCATTGGCAAAAGCACAGACTATGTAATTGTATGGAAAGTGTCGACAGCTTATAAAAATATCTATGTGTTAATTAAAGTATCATAATATATAATCAATTAAGTAACAAGCAATTAAGGTGCAATTATAATTATTTTTTAACCATTAACTTTCAGTTTTGACTGAAAAAATATATATTTAATGTATTTTTTTTCGATTTTCTCCCTATATTACAAAATATCGTAATGTTTTGTTTCTGTATCTAAAATAGATGGAATTGAAATGTTCTACTTATGATTAAAACGACATATATATGTAATTGTAGTACACTCTTATAGGTTAGTATTTAATTAATAATATTATTTGAAAGATGTCTACTGTGTCTTCAAATTTTTTTAAATATGGCTTATTGAGATCTGTTACCCCTATATGATACATTTCAAATGTTCTATATATTCCCTTATTATATAATTATACTATTATAATACGACGACTATTCGTCGCAAACTATAAAGATCAATCCAACTATTCAAATAGAGGAGTGCAATAAGTTTGACATAGATGACTGTATGTCCGTCTGTGGCGTTTTAACTTTCAAATGAATCTTTTAATTTCGATGCAATCTTTCCGACCAAGATTCAATGTCTTTGCGGTGTTTTATCTTTGTTTTTTTGCATATGATTATTACATTTTTTCACGCTTTCCGATATAATCGTGAAATAACCATTAAGAAGGTTGAGGTTTTTTAAAACTTAAAACACTTTTGTGATACAATTATCTGTCTCACACAAGGACTTCTCGCAATACATTGATTGCGAGAATAAAAAGACATTTGAAAATTTAAACTTATATATGTAATTTTTTAACAAAGTGAAATAGGTGAAATAAATAACATAATAATATATTTTAAAGAAATATTCATTTGTACATTACATATTTTTCTTAAAATAATCATTTCCATTCTCATATTACACTTCTGACAGTCATCCTCTTAAAATTTAATTTAAACAAGAATCAGACGTTCCGTTAGTGCGTGTGTTGTAAAAGTATTATACAGAAAAAACAAAACATAAATTTAAAATATCAGTTGAGTTGTAAAGTGAATCACAGTTTTGTGGTATTCCTAAAGGCCGTATATAGTAGGCAAGTCAGAACGCTAAGGCCATTATTTATCATAACATTTAGAATATATATATTATACAATCAACAACAGTTTTAGAAACGCGACAGCGGGAGACTGCTGTAACGAAAAAATCCAAATAACTTGTACACCATCCCATTAACAATATCAATTTTAAGTACATTATCGTAATGGTGCAGAACTTTGAAAGTGTATTAGTTTATAAATCAGATGTTATTAGTTTTTTTTCTTTAACTCGAAAATACGTTCTCTATACAATATAAATGTAATAATAAAATGTCTAATCTTACAGTAAGAGAGAACATTATATCACATATACACAATGATATCTTTACTACCTTCTGAGCATGTTGGAGCTTATTACTGTTACATATATCTGTATCCAGATATTAATATAATTTAAATCGTCCGGCTGTCGTCTCGACGTAGCTATATTGCAAGTCTCGTACAATTTACAACGAATCAATATACAAATACATACACAGAGTAAACTATTTTATTTAAATAGATTCAATCTTGGACATCGATACCAATCACAGAAAGATAAAATTAATTTCATCCTATCATAATTATAATATTTAGCTCTGCAATATTAACGTGCTAGAGGAATGAGAGTCGAACGGCCGCGGGCTGGATCGCGTCACACTTGGCACCTTTTGAGTATTAACACTATCATATAATAAAACGTCTCGGTACACTCGTTCAAAAAATACACGAATACATCTACACGCTATAGGAGGCACATACTTCAGGTCGACGAAAAGAAGTTCCAAAAATATAGTAATAAATACAACCACAGTTCAAATAATTTACAATCGCACCATATTCGCACCGGGAAATCACACGAAGACTGGTCGCTAGAGGCGGATGTCGCTGGTGGCGGTCAGGAGCGGTCCGCCGACGCGGCGCCACGAATCGTCTTCAGATTCCGTGGGCGCGCTCACGTCACTCACGCCGCCCACACCGCCCACGCCGGCGGCGGGTTCCTCTCCGCTGCGGACGAACGCGTGGCACTGCACCTCGTCCGTCGCTCCGTAACGATGCAGCGTCAGAAACTTGAGGTTGGCCACTATGGAGGAATTGATGGGCCTGGTGGGGATGGTGACGGTGGTGGCGGACCGCTCGATGCGGCGCGGCCGAGGGTCCGGCGCCAGCTCCAGCGACTGTCCGCGCCCGTACAGCCGCGACTGGCCGAACCGCGGCGTCAAGCGACCGATCAGATTGTCCTCCTTCCGCGGCTTACTCGCCTCCTCCGACGGTTTCGGCTTCTTCTTCAGAAAAAACGGCGTCAATCGTTCGGTGAGCGGCCTGGAGGAATGTGTGCCCGCGTCCTGGACGTTCGACGTGGAGTTGGAAGTCTTCAGCGGCTTCATGGAGCTCGGCTGTGTTTTGATAGGGTTCGATTTCCTCTGCAGACTGATCCTCGAGAACATGCCGTAGTCCTCCTTGTCCTTGCCCGCTGGCGCCTCCTCGGTCCTATCGTTCTGGTAGTCATCGTCGGCGGGCGGCTCGTCCTCGCACACCTTCAATACACAGTAAGTGTCCCGCTGCAGCTCGTCGAGCAGGCTGTCGTCGTTGGAGAGCGTGTCTATCTTGCTGGGTGGCCGCCCGTCCTCTCCGTCCGAGAGATTCCTTTCCTCCGCGGGCGAGGCTCGCGGCAGGCTGGCCGTGGAGCCGCTCGCCGGTTTCTGCCGGAAGGTGACGTGTTCGTCCGACTTCGTGACATCTATGTCAGTGGGTTTGGGCTGCAAACGCACTCGAGATATCGTCTGTCCACGCGGCGGGACGGCCGGCGGCGCGTCGTCGTCCGACGTGTGGGAGTGGCTCATGAAGTTGGCCATCAGTTCGTATTCCTTGCAGCGGTTCGATACATCGTGGTCGGGTCTCCTGGGCGGCGTGGGCTCGGGCTTCGGCCTCCGCGCGGGGGGCTTCAGCTCGACGTCGACGTACTCAGAGAGAGGGGCGGGGGGACAGGCGAGGGGCGCGCGGAAGGGGGACAGTCGCGCGGGCTTGGGCGGTCGTGTGGGCCTGTCGTTGGAGGCGTCGCTATCTTCAGAAGGCTCGTGTTTGATACACGACATAGTGAGGTACCCGCTGCCGGTAGATTTATTCGACTTGCCCGAAGATCGTTCGTCGCCGTGCCGAGCCAGTTTTAAGGACTCAGTACTGGAGCAGATGTCGTGTGATGATTGTAGCGGGAGCGTCTTTCCATCGAGGTCGATGGTAGGGGACGAGTCGCCTCTCCACGTTCGGAAGAAAAATGATCCACTGTCCACGCTCCCAGCCGCTCCGGCGAGGTGAAGATAATTGTCATCTCCGATTGGAGCTTGTCTATAATAGATAGAAAATTATCAAAATTTATTAGTTACATACAAAGGTTGACAAACAAGAACTTTTAAGAATGTATAATGTAAAACTTTTAAGATTGAATTGGATTTTTGGATAGCACCTATTGGATACCCGTAAGCAGTTTTACCTTTATATTACTTTTACACTATAAGTTTTACATTTATGCTACCGTCTTCTAGTTATTAATATGTATGTTTAAGTAATGTAAGTAAAAGTAATTAAACTATGTAATCCTATTTTGGTTTTAATTTTATGTTATATAATAGTTAATATAGAAACTTATGTATAAAAACTGTTGGATTACCAAATAAATAAATAAATAAAAAAAGATAATACGGAGTACGGATTTTAATTTTTAAATCAATTTATTTCAAAAGGCATCCATTAAATAATAAAAAAATCTAATCAAGTACTTTATATCTTCATATAATAAAGGAGTACATCTAACTCACTTGCTCCCATACTTGGTCTCCCTGGCCAATGATCGTCTATATATACAGTGTCGGTGTTCAAGGTCAAACATTATCTTCTCCAGCTCCCGTAACGTCGCCGCCTCTGCCTCCCGCTCCTCGGGACTCGTGTCGTCTGAAATATGTTAAAAAATAAACCTCTGTTCACCAATATTGCAGATAGACTATTTTCCATGTTGAGTTAGCCTGTAAGTGATGATACGCAACTGTGAAATTAAGTTCCATGATGTTATAATGTAGTTATAAGTTTTTGTGTATCACGTTGGCTTCCTATTAAATAAAATAAATAAAAATAGACCACGGGTCAATTCTTACACAAAACTTATTCAGTATCAGGTGCATACATCACAGATAGACCAATTTAAAATGGAATATGAACTTATATAGAAGGAATTAAAACTCATTTTGATGGGCACAGTCGATAATTTGTTAATGAAAGGTCCTATGTTGTTTGTACCTGGTGGTCGATGTAGTCGCTCTTCCAGCCGCTGCACGTGAGCCACAAGCAGAGCGTGCAGCCGCTGTAGATCTCTCGCCGGGTCTAACCTCAGCGCTAGAGCAGCGCTGCCGCTGCCACAACCCTCAGCGTCCGCTTCGGTACGACCACAACTGAAAATAGGATTTAAATAACTACATCATTCATAATTGGGTAAATAGGGGAAGGATGATAGTGAGCATGCAGTACTTGTTACATATTACAATACAAATTTAGTTTGTTTCGTCAAGTTTTTTCTAAGTAATATGTATACAGGGTGACTGGTGAATTAATATCGATACTTGAGGACGTGATATTTGACGATCATATATGACAAAATAAACATTAATATAACATAAATATTAATAAACTTCTAAGTATAGTTAACCAAAAGTTGTGTAATTAATTACGCATCGTGTAAACACGCTACAGATTGGGTATACCCACACACACACATACGCGTGCGACGGCGTGGTGTTGTATCAGCACGCCGCCGCACGTGTCCACACTTGGAACACTTGGAACGTGTCAACACTTTATTTATTTATACGGAAATTTTGTCAAAAATTAAATACCTATTTTTTTTACATAATTCGAATGAGAATCCTGTACCGAGTATTATTCTTAAATATTGATAGTAATTCACCAGTCACCCTGTATATAAGTGTTTATATTTCAGTACTTTAATTTTATACCAAAATGCTTCTGTAAGACTAGTAGCGCCATCTTTGTATTATTCATGTAATGTTTTAGATGTCAATAAAATGTCGGTTGTTAAATAAAAAGACCGTGTTTTAGTAATTTGTCATATATAACTATATATGTATATCTACTCACCACGTCCACCGGTTGTCTCCGTAGTACCCTCGATGGTGTGTGGTGGGTGAGTGTCGACACAGCGCCGATAGTAGCCTGAGCCACTCAGCACGCTCCACACAGTTACTCGCCTGCACGAACAACACACGCTCGCGGTGCACTGTACACACGGACATACATATATACTTTATTTATATGTAAATACATTTTAGACAAATTTTATTATGTATATTACTGTAATGAAACAAAATTTATGTGCAGTACTTTTTTGTTTATCATAAAGAAAGTCATCTTTATATCTTTACACATACAATGACAGTTATTTTGTTAGTTATATAACAAAAAAAAGAATAATAAGAATCCCATGATAAAAATCACTTCTGATATATTATATAGAAGTTTTGGATCTAGTTAGAAGTATAAGTGGACTGTTATTTGAATATATAATAAAGGTATATAACTAATGTATATAATGTACCTATCTGGAAGATGTTATTAGCGTCCAGCGGCGCCCCGGCCGGCGGGCAGTCCACGGGCGACACGCTCAGTACACCGGACAGAGCCAGGCGGTGGGCACCGGAACGAGCGCCGCAACGGGACCACGATAGTTCACCGCTGGAAGTAAATAACATATATATTTAATACTATACGTATGTAATTTAATTAAACTATATACTAGAATTTTTCTCGCATAAATTACCAGTCACATTGTTAAACATTAAAGCAAAATTTAGCCATCATAGTTGCAAATAAGCACTGCTTACGCCACCCATATAACAAAACCCACATAGTTTAATTCTTACATACTTTTAAATAAAAAATTACTACTATTAATGTTTTAGACTAGGAAATTATTATGAAAATTGTTTTTTTTTTCAAACATATTCTGTTTACCCTACCCTATACCTCAGTTTTGTCCTGAGTCATAGATATATAAATATATGTAAAAAAATGATAGTAAATGGTTCTGCATGACTGTATATAACCATTTTTTATTATTATTGTGTAATAGCTAGTAAAAGTAGGCAGACCCTGGCTAAAGCTGAGAAATTGCAGGGAAGAAGAAGAAGCTAGTAATATTTAGTGATATAATAATACCTGGTTAGCCTGAAGTGCCTCCGTTTACAGTGCGGGTGTGCGGAGCGCGCCCACCGTCTCCGCGGGGAACCCGCCCCCGCCCGCACGCCCTCCGACCGCTTGATCATCGTACTGTAACATGAACACCCTCTATATAAACTACTGATACTGATACACCCTATATATACCTTCGTGCTTATCTCGAGTAATGAATTTTATTGTATTTATTTATATACATATATTTATCATCAATTTATTAGTCATAATGATAATTTTTGTATAAAATAGAACCACCTGTATATATGATGCGAATTTTAGAATAATTTTGTTACCACTGTTAGTTAGCACTGGTGTTCCAACGGATAGGAATCGATTCGCTGTACAATGAAACATTCTTAATTAAATTTTAAACACAGTCTAGCGTATGTTGCCAACCGTTGCATTGGTTTGTAGACGAAAAGTTCATTGACATTATAAATAACGATATCGACATTTGATTCGGTTAAATTCAAACAACATCGTCACGACGTTATTACACAAATCAAACAGATAATATTTTATTTGTAAAGCAATAAAACGGTAGCAATTAAAGATAAACAAACGAATAAAACACGAAACATGACACGAGAACAAAACAAACAGAGAATAAATCATAATAACAACATAATGGTACAGTAAAATCAAACATACATACCCATAACTTTTCCAAATGATGCACAAACGAAAAATAAATACCGATTATAGGACATTGTATAGACCAAAGAAAATTATACAGATGAGAGTAACATGAGAGATACATAGATGTACAGAGATTTAATATTACTAACCCCTCTTTGAGTAGAACTGGCGTCTCCTGGACGTTATTGTTCTGTGTGTCAGAGCTCGTTGAGATTATCTCGAGGAACTGCTTTATAGCCTGTACCTGTAGACAAAAATATAAATTATGTATAAGTATAAATATAAATTATGTATAAGAGATAATGACAATATACAGGGTGACTGGTGAATTACTATCAATATTTAAGGAGCATACTCGGTACATGATTCTCATTCGAATTATGTAAAAAAAATAGGTACTTAATTTTTGACAAAATTTCCGTATAAATAAATAAAGTGTGTACACGTTCCAAGTGTGAACGCGTGCGGCGGCGTGCTGATACAACAACACGTCGCCGCGCGCGAGTGTGTGTGTGTGTAGTATACCTAATCTGTAGGGTGTTCACACGATGCGTAATTAATTACATAACTTTTGGTTAACTTTACTTAGAAGTTTATTAATATTTATGTTATATTAATTTTTATTTTGTCATATATGATCGTCAACTACCACGTCCTCAAATATCGATAGTAATTCACCAGTCACCCTGTATATCACACATATACCCTAAATTTTATCGCGTCCGATGACGTAATATCTTTTTAACTATACATCTTAAAGTCAAGGGTTCAAACATTGAGTCATATTATTATTTTGCCTGTCGAGTGACGTCACATTATAAAATTAAAATTTTAATATGTACTTAGTTTAAGAATTTAAAATGTGTAGTCTCGTAAATTGGGGCACCAAGGGACAGAGTAGGCGGGATAAGGATTTTTCATAAAAAGTCAGTAATTTCTGACGCTTGTCCTCCCCTCCCCTAAATAACGTATGACGTGTTTATGTAAGATCTATAAATGTATATATGTATGTATAATTCGTTAGTATATATGTATCACTCACATGTCTTGTAGTACAGAAGCTGCGGTACAGTTCCGCCATGTACTCCTCCTTACACACCTGCTGGGCCGAGCGACTGCTCACCAGGTTCCCGAGGGACTGGATCGTCTTGGAGATCAGGGTTAGCGTGCGGTTTGTTTGGGGATCCTGGAGGAATTGAAAATTATGACGTCATTAGACTACTTGTATACCATTTGGCTTTACCAATGAAAGAACTATAACATCGTTTTCTTCTTTTTTCTTTGCAATACCAAAGAGACTGATAGAATTTATCCCATGATTTGTTTAATATACAAACTCACAATTTGTTCAGTGGTGAGATCGAACAGCTTGGGTCCAAGTATAGCTGGGGCGAAGAACCTCAGGAATATGAACCCGGAGACGACCGAGTAGCGGACCTCCGCGTTGGCCGGGAAGTGACGCGCGGCGCACTGTCTGAGAGCGTCGAACAGACGACACATGCCCGCGGGGCATTGCGCGTACGACTCCGTGATAGCCGAGAACACCTGAAAATAATATAATCATTAATACTATCACACTCATATACAGCTATAACTAGGAAAACTTTCATAATTGTCATATTTCCTTTATATAGAATTTTTATTTTTAAAATGTTTCCATACATACATAATACACATAGAATAATAAATTTAAATTTTCGTAAACATGGAGTGAGACTGTGAGAAAAGTTTATTAGGTTTTTATTACAATGCATGCTGAGTTATCCTATAATTGTAGTGTACTTCGTAGCTACATATTCTATATTGTAAAACTTTTAATGTTTAAAAAAAAATTAGATCATTGCACATTATGTTGGCTTTCTATGGAATAAATAAAATAAAAAGTTTGAGTCCAACTTTGGCACGACAATGCTTTTCAGTTATGTATAATTATCAGAATGTTATTCCGTCATTTAATAATTGTCATTAAAGGCTGTATATGTTATCCTTTCAGTTTATTATTATAAAAAAAGGTTTTATACGTTACCCTTTCAGTTTAGTATTATCAGAAAAGCTTGTATATATTACCCGTTCTACGTAATCCTTGAGGTTTGCGAGGTTGGTGGCTACAGCGGCGGCGGGCTTGACCCTGGCGGGGTCTATTTCGCAAGGTTTCTTCTCAGCGAGCACAGCGGCCAGCGTGGGTCGCAGCACGCCGCGCAGGTAGGACGCGCCCGTGAGACGCATCGCTTCATCCATCATCTTGGAAACGAGGGTGTTCCCGCGGAATATAGTCGTCGCGTCTCTGTTTATACAATTATTACTTATTATTGAAGAAATGCCACTCAGGACTACTTCTTATGTTGGATTTAATGTTTTTTTTAATATATTACATTTCGTGATCATTGAGATTTTTTTAATTACTAGAATCGTAGATGATCTCTTACTGCGAGTGCACCGTCAAACTAAACAGATGGATTTCAATTTTAACAATATAGTATACAATGATTTACTATTGATATTAATCATAGTAAATGTACAAACTCGAAATGATAGCCTCATATTTCTTATTCTTCGGATATCCGGGTGAATGGAATTTCGGAACATCACTACATTTAATAAAACTTAATAACAAAAAAATGTAAGTGGTTTTTACATATCATTGAATATATAATCAAAAATTTCTTATTCGAAAAATTATAAACAAAACATGTATGTATATTATTGTAATTAAGTCCAAGAGATAGCGTGCTTACAGAGTTTATCGATACACATACATTCACTTCCTTTGATCACATAACAGCCGCGATATTTATATGTATAGATTTTGTTTCTTCGTTAAATACATAGGAAAATACCAAAGTACACAATAATAGGATAATACAGAAATGTGCATTATTATGGAAACTAAAACGATTGTAACTTAAATGTAAAACACTGTTAAATATAATAAAAATATGTAACGTGGTCAAGGCGACCATTAAGAACGTTCAGAATTCGCAAAGAACCGTCGCATTTCATTGTTGGCGTAGTAATTTCTAAACGCAATTATTCTTAATTTTATTACTGTTGCGATATTCATTTGTTTCGTATCAAAAGATATATAACTTGACAGCAATGTGGCATTGTCTGTAAGTAGGTTTTATGAATTTGGTATTACTAAATCAAGGTCGATTGAAAAGACTAAGAGTAGATTATGGAGACTTTAGAATTAAAAATTACCAACAAGAGGTTTATGCTTGGTTATTCACTGGTTTTTGTAGCGTTTTTTTTGTTTTTGGTCCTAGCAAGTATTGTGTAGTTTTTTCAATAGACTATAAAGCTGAGAGTCGTGTATGTATGTACGTATGTTTTACTAACGTGAGTACTGATATCTCAGCGTCAGCGAGTTCTTTAACGATGGGCACTATGAGGTCGTGATGAGTGAACAGCCGCACCAGAGGCTGCGCGGCGTCCGTCTTACTGGACACGATCTCACCCAGGATGTACACGGCTGATGTCGTTATGGGCTGGAAATGACATACATAATACATGTGTTATTTCGAATACATTAATGTTTTCTTCTATCTATACTCGCTAATAAGTCTTGAAATAATTTTAAATTTTTAATATCATTAGAAGGTAATAATATCGCTCACAAAGCTATACATTTTGTTAAATTGAAGGTAAATGATGAAACATATTAAAAGCCAACCGTCGAAATGTAATAGAAGAGAAAAAAATTACCGATAATTTTTTTTGTGTATGTTATAGACTATAGTTAATAGCACGTTAATATCAGAAACAACTGTACCAATTTTAGTGTGATTTTCTTTAAAACTATGTACGAGTAGATTTCACAAAAAAGTAGTTTTATATCTATCGATTCCTAAACAGACAAAGCCGAAATCTATACAAATCTATCATATGTCTATCTTCCACTAAAGACGCTCACCTTCTGATGCACGCTCCTGAGGAACAGTTCCTCGAGCTGAGTGTAGTGGTGTAATGGGAACACGTGATCCACGGTGTACTGGAGCAGCAGCCGCAGCGAACCCAGAGTAGGGCTCCCCGCGGCGGACAGGCGGGTCCCGGGGGGCGTCGCGCCGCGGGATAGGGCTCCGCCCGCACGAGACGTTAGGAAGTACCTGAACAATTAGTATGGCATGTTTTAGATGTAGTTCTCAATTTAAATACAGATATTTTTGTTTCGATATTGGGTATCTTGAATCGTGTAACGGGATTATCAATATGAAATCATATACATATTTTGAACATTTCCTACCAGGCACATAGAGGTGATGGCGCCGGCTGCCGTAACTGCAACCTAACTTCGCCTAGAAATACTGGTGTTGTTCCATCATGCCAAACAGACACTCTCGCTTCACAAGCTACCCCGGCCTGGAACAGAACGCATTGATTAAATAAATTTGATTGCTTTATTTTTGGAACCTTGTCAAGTGTAGGACTTACCGTTTGTGAGCCATCCTTGTCCTTCGGATCAGCTTCCATTACGAGATCAAAACAGAAGATTTCATCAAATTGAGGGTTGACGGTTTTCTTCTTGGGTTTAGTTCGCCTCTCGACTCTCCGGCCGTTCGAGTACAGTAGCGTGACGAGAGCGAAGGGGTCACATTGGCCGTTCTTGGTCGTGAGTTCAGAGCACTCCAGCACCCTTAGCCGTAGAGTGTCAGGGCCGACTCTCGCGGCGCAGTGCCTCTCGGGGTCCGACCAGTAGTCGGCGGCGGTGGGCGTGGGCGATGTGTCCGACTCGGACATAGCGTGCATGGGCGGTTTCGTCCTCACTGCCCACTGAGCTCGATCCTTCAGACTCTCCGATCGCGACAGAGCCAGCGAAGGTTCCGTCGACACCGGACTCAGCAGATTCTTCCTGTTCGTGCTCGAACCCGAACCGAATCTGATGCTCTCTTTACAATATTCTGATAATCTAGTTAAATTATTGGCTTTCGTCTTCGTCGAGCCGTTGTCCGCGGGGTCCAAGTCCGGTGGCTTGGGGTCCATGCGCAGTCGTTTCCTGGAGTCTTCGAGTGTGAGTTCGATATATGCCTTCCCTTGCACCTCGGAATCCGCGTCCACTGGCCGCAAGGCGAACCAGTGGTCTTTATTGTTGTACCTCTGGAGATCCTCCCGTTTGATGGCGACCTTCCCGAGCACCTTGTCCTGCTTGAGATGTTTGTCGCGATCGAACACGTATATGGAAAGGTATCTGAATCTTCGCGGCACTTCGAACTGGAATTCCTCACCGAAAAATGGGCTGCAACAGAAAGTCGATATAAAACATCTAGTGAGTAAGCGTTGATAAGCGTTTCACAAATAAATAACACAGTGAGAGTTATCGCACTAAAATGATGTCGAACTGAATAGACGGACTCGTAGTGTTTATCAGAAGTAAACAGGCGATAGTTACAATTATTACATGTTATTTAGACAGACCGATAGCTAAATATATCCTAATTGGGTTGGCTCTTTGTATTAACATGTACATACAGTATAAGGATTCTCAAAGGTTCTATATACGAGTATATGTATAGATGTAATATTGACACTATCTATGTAATGAATTTTAATAGCGTTCAATTTAAATGCGATAATACAATATGAATACTAATGATTCTTTTTTAATTGCATTATAGTTTGAATACATTTGGAGAGTTACAGAATTTAAAAAAAAAACTAATTATTTGATATCATGACTAAAAATAGATGAACATAAATACGATTTTTTATTCTAATAGTAAAAGATAATGACGTGTTTTCATTTAATAGATTAAATGAATATACAAATAACCATTTATTTACAACCGTATTACTGTTACTATATTCATTATTGTACAAGTATTTATCCCTTAAATTTAAACGCAGTTTGATCACCATCTATGTGGGTTCGTGAAAAGGTGAAAGTCTCGACGCCTTCATTGTCATTAAGGAATTCGGATTAGCTGGCATTATGAAAACCAACCAATGCTTACTTATATTTGATATTTAAAAAAAAAAATTTTCAGCTATTCAGCTGTCACATTTTCGTGACATTTAGTGAATTACGACGATAAACAAAAATGGCGCCATTTTAAAACTTTGACACATACAAAACTCATTTTTCAACTGTCATATTTATCAAAGTATTTATGTAACCTTTTTTATGTGAGATACAAAAAAAAAATATCTAATGCGTTTCATTATTTCATTGTTTCAAGCGTGGAAATTTTATTAAATACGCAATTGTAGTTTGACCATTTTTTTTTGTACATTAATTTAACTCAAAGTGGTAGGTAGTTATTTAGATGGAATTGCATTACAAGAAACGTAAAAGTAAGTAACATCCGGCACTAAAGTAATATTTATAGGTTGAGTTCCATCGGTGTCGGTGCGGTTTTAGATCGAATATAGACGCACATTCAAAATATTATTAACGGATTGTGGGTATTTTGAGATTACGTTTAATAAATCAATCGAACCGAATGATACTTGGTCATTTTGTCTTAAAAGCAATTGAGATATCCGGGTGCATGTGACATTGACTGAGGAAGCAGTTTGAAAAAAAAATTACTTATAGTTCGTTCGGGAAACTTGATACTTTGAGTGTTTGAAATTGACCATGACTTACTCATGACAATATAAGTATTGGCAATGCAATTTTTCGAACTTTATTTCTAAGTAAATCCTGCTATTAGAATAATTATAAATGGTTATTTTTTTAATCCTAAACTATGTCATGATAACTAAAAGTATACAGAAAAAAATCTCAAATATTTTCGACTACTATACATGTAAAGAGTTAATATATGTACATGACGTAGACCGACAATTGGTGGTATCTTAATAGGATGGTACAATGTTAGCACCGTCTTAATAATCAGGAAGGATGAAGATCAATGCACTCAAGACAGACGCCAGCGGATTCTGTTCTGAGATCATTTAACGCGTCACTGTGTTCCGGCATCAATTTATCACTTAAAAGCTTCCGCTAACTCACCGGCAGGGATTTTACGAGCGTCCTCTAAAACTCCTGGAAACTACTTATGTTTTAAACGTTCTATATACTGAGGCGGATTAAGAAATATCCAGAATAAGAGCAAAATAATATTGAAAGGAATTTAATATTGATTTTGGGTTCTTAAGACGAAGTGACTTATGCGTATTTTACATATAGACAAGTGTATTTATCATAATGTATACATATAGAGGTTGTTATATGTTGGTAGTTAAATACTCTCATCAAAGATAGGTGGGTTTTAATAAGTAGAGCACCATTTGCGTGGGGCCAATAAGAAATTCTTGCTATATTATTGGTTTATATAACTATAATTTCGTATAGATTTTAACCAGAACGCTATTTAGTTTCGATCGAGTTGCCTCGGTTCTTTAAACACGCTCCCCTACCACTCTCTGATAAGATATCACGAGACAAAGAACTCATTAAGTCGCCAGCTGAATGACGTGACATTTCCTTTGATATCCGGCACAGCGTCCTGCTCACCTCTGGGGTCAGAAATCCTTATCTTGCTTCCGTCCAAATCAATAAATATTTAATACACATACATACATAGTACAGATAAAAGTTGCAACCACGGTACGTTGGAACGTTGCATTTTATTGAGTGATAACTATTCGAGTTACAGTTATATTTAGTTTGTTATAAGAAAATAATGATTATCAAGGTCGTATTGATGTTCTTTCAAAAATCGGAGAAAAGAATCGTCACATTTTAATTCACAATTGCGAATGTATGATACGGTTCTTGTCCTGTTATTGACCAAAAAAAAAACTTCAAGCGTCAAGTGTGGACACTGGACATATCAATAACTGTTCCCATGGCTATATCAGCTGCTGGTTCGTTTGATTCATAACCAAAAGTGAATGGCGAGGGGTGTTGTAGCGGAAGGGACGTTCCGCAGCGACGCACGCACGCCGGAAACACATCCGGGACGTGCGACGCCGCCCTACACGATACAACCCTCCCCGTTCCAAAATTATCGCATTCCATCGCCTCGTACATACTATTTTTTTTACTCAATGAACCGATTCAGCGACAGACATCCGTTCGTTGGAGCTGACTTGCGAATCGTATATGAAAAAAATCTTATTACTAGCATCTATATTCATATATATAAAGTATTAAACATTCATAGACTCATTGAGGAAAAATATTGTATACATTGACGTATGTATGTACGTATGTGTGTGTGTGTGTGTGTGTGTGTGTGTATGTGTGTGTTAGTGTCGTCAAGTTGTGTAACGTCGAGTTTCAGTTGATGTTTGACTCAATGGATCTGTATTAGTCACGCTTTGAAACAACTCGTGAAACATGCATACGTTCTTGTTCCGGTGGTATATTAAGATTATATTAGGGTTGGGATTTACACTTATATTTAGTTCGCGTTTTAATCGATTATAGATCGAATGGTAAATTGAAACAGATGTATATTAATAACTAGATATATTCTACAGAACTTATGTAGCTTATTTATATCGGAAATAATATTTCACGAATTATATTAGTTACGTGATAAGAATCGTGAATATTTTACATTCACTAATGTTGTACAACACTATTTATTATGGAATTTTGTGAATACGTTAAAAATATTTACAGGTTATTTTTGGGGATATGTTTGATTTGAGATATTACATCTTTGACTATAAATGGATGAAATAACTTCGAAACTAGATTATCTATTAAGATTTTTCATTTCATCAAATCAGATATAAGGATTCACTATATTTAGTATATTTTAACGAAGATTTCTTACGGATTGTGTACTTATAAAAAATATAATATCAGTGTACATCGATAAAATAAATTATTAAACAATTGAGGTTATGGCCGCCGGCCAGGTATATTTGCATATGACATATATTTCAGTTAGAATGAAAACAATTGCGTGCCAAATACCATAAGCACAGACGCTAGCTAGCCACCAGTATGCTCTAATTATACACAATACAGTATAAAACTGAATATTTTTAAAACTGTCGAACCTTGACCCAATATAATTGTTTGCTCCCTAAATTTAATGTATCAACAACGCTTCCCATCCGATAATGCCGGAAGACTGGCCGGATATTAAACAAAGAGACCGTTATATACGTACCATGTTATAGAAATCATATTTAAACATCACTACCTCAATCGATCGCGTAAACATTTTACAAATACTTATTAAGGTACATACTCAATAACGGGTATTTGCATGTAGGTTTTATTCTCGAGTTGTTCGACCAAGATTTTAATTAAAAATCGTGATATACAACCAAAAAAGTATAAATAACACATTCCTTCTAATTAACGGTGAAACTTTTGTTTTATATTAATCTTAACGCTTTAAAATTCTTAAACTCATGGATACTTTGAAATGACCTAGCACTAATACATACATTACTAGAATTTGAGAGGATTTTGGTCCAATATAAAATAATAGTTGATATTGACTGATGATTTAAAATTAACCATAGCATGTTTTATATATAGTTGACTTACTCAAGTGTTCTTTCCATTGTGGATGTTCGGAATATCTCTTCTTGGTCGAGTGACAGCACGCAGTATATATCTCGGTGGGAGGCGGCGCCATTGTTGCGAGCTGGTAGATTCTTAGCTTCACCTATAACATAATATTTCGTATATACCATATGAATCGAAGGCCTATCTATACAGCCGTTCTTGACACCAAAGAGTTCTTTTACACATACGATACCTGAATGGGCCATTAACGGCGTCAATTTATTTATTGGTAATAATGAACACTTTTGTTACAATGTTGGATATCTACATGATGTTCTTATTAAACAGACTTATAGGCATTTTTTTTATCATTAATAATTGTATGTACAAAATGTGTATTTTTCTTATTAGTGACCAGTAACAAAGCGTTCTGACTGTCCATAGTATCTCGTAATAAGTACATAGCCCAACGTCATTTAACTAGGTGTTTCCAATTATGTAAATAGTATGCGCAATTCGCTCGCCAGTTAGTTTTGGTCGTGTCGTTTAAGTAACGCATTCAATACAATTGTTATTCAGCGAACCGAGCGGAGTAAAACGCCAATTACCGTCAGCTAGCAAGTCTTTCATAGCGCTGATTCGACCTTGTTATTAATGAATGGTATTGCATTAAAACTTAATAACTCTACTCACGATCTAATGTATGATATTATCAAAACTCACGCAATGACAATGTTATGCCTATTATTATATATATTTTTGTGATAGTTCAATTATTACTTAATATATGTTACGATGCTTGTGCAATATGTGACCTCGTCGTTATTAGCTTTATACGGCAGCGCAAGGCAAGGTTGTCATGAATTCGTGCCTATCCCATATGTGTAATGTACTGACTGGCATTAGATTAAAAACTTCGTTAAATTACATATATAGTCATACCTGAATCATTAAAAACATAGATGATAATATTTAAATCCGATTAACTAACTAATTTAACAATAATATAAGAAAATTATAAAGAGAAATTTATTTCATACATTGTATGGTATCGAGGTTCACAACCACACTATGTCAGCCGCATATGATACCTTCGACATGATCGTCTCTAAGATACGTTAGGGAAAGTCCGTTGCACGTACAACCTTTCACTTAAATGTCTGAATAAATTACAGCTCATCAAAACAAACGTAATTGCCCCAGCCGAGATTACAAGTAAGGACAAAGCAAATCGACCCTCCCACAAATTCGTTATTGTAATAAGAGAAACTGCCAGTCGGTACATAATTGTTGATGCAAAAAAAAAACCTCCACCTTAAACACACGCCATAAAGTGGATCGTGGGAGAGAAACGGGAACCAAACAAACCATGGTGCTAAGGAAATATGTGGTCACAATGGCAACGCTGTGATGTCTCCACCGTTACAAACGGCTTTCGAAACCGAGAGTACTTTGGGCATAGCATTATTACATTGGATGAGAATTTTACGAGATCCGACTCACGTTTTCACCGGATCTAATATAATGTAACGAGCGACGCACTTATATTGTTTGAAATATGACGTTTAATACTTGATAAAAATTCCATGGGTAACTATTGTTCACGCAACTATGTAGATTACAGTGGCAAAGTTTGTAATAAATTTTCGGATCACAGCATCGAGGTTTTGTTTAGTACAGAAATATCGAAAACTTTAATTAGTAGAATTTTAATAACATAATTGTGGCTGCGACTGCCGTATAATCAGATAATTTACATTGCAACCTATGCTTTTACTGCAATGTTTCTTCCTACGTATAAAGTGGAGGTAGGTTTAATTCTAGGTCCCAACCCACATACTGTACCCAAATAAGCCTATGCCAAAAGCAGGTGCCTTTCATAACTTTATACCCAAATTATTATCAACAAGTCAGCTTGGTTATTACAAACTTGGGTGACGTTTATTATAAAGAACTAGAAGCGAAATTTTGGAAAAATCCTTGAAGATTACATATTACGAGTTACTGTTGAAACCAATATTTTTCAAACTCTTATGTTAAACTTATTTAGACGTATTTGAAACAAAACTTTTTTGTTTTACGAGTCAGTAAAAAAAAGACTTTATTATTAAATATAATTTCGTCTCACACACTACTGAAAGTGAAAACCTCATGCAAATTCAAGATGCATATCGGTCAAGAGTAATTGCGAACGCATCGAGGTCATCGCCCTCCGTGCAAGCCGAGATAATTACAAAAACAATTCAAAGAATATCACAATTTATTTCGCTCAAACTGTACCGCGTGCCGGCGTTACGTATCGATAAGCAATCTCAATCTTATCGATGATTGAATTTCTGAATGGAATTTTTGCATCACTAGCTGCTATTGCGAAGCGGGCTTCGATGACGATAAATGAAATCGTTTTTCATTAACGGGACAACGGCTTTCCATGAATGGATAAGCTGAATGGGAAAACGTTAGGCCGACCCATTCACGGTTCGTGTAGTTCGAAGGGGCAGACGGCTAGCACCGCGCCAGCCATGCTCAGCGAGTATTTCGCGTCACTCGACAAGCGAGTGTGTGCCCTACAAATATACTACGATGCCAAACTGAATGATTTAACGTACGAACACTTTATGAAAATTGGACATTAAAACCTTTAAACAATATTATTATGATCAACATAATATAGTACTGTTGAAACAGTTGGGAACGCATTATTAAAATTCCTATATGAATAAGTAAAAACATACATTTAAACACCAAAGAATTTTAAACATAATATCTATCGCTAGTGTTGTGAATCAACCTTTAGTAGGTACAATAAAATTTATTAAGTATATCCTTTTTTATAAAATAAATTTTGCATTCTAAATAGTTAATTTTCCCCATCCATTGTAACTATATATACAAAAAAAACATTATATTATTATTATAATGATATAAGCGACTAAAATAGATTCGGAAGGAAATTATTCGCCTGAAAACGCGCCAATTAAAAGAGTTATTAGTGTGTGATATGTTATACACATAATAGGAATTAAAATTAAGGACAACATTTTAAGTGAATTGAAAATTTTTCGTAATTCAAATTCATAAGGTTCAAAATCGTTAAATATAAATCGGCAACAAATATTAATAAGACAGTAAATATTTCTATATATAAATATAACTATTTCTTTTACTTTGACTAGTTTTTTTAAATATATGTATAATAAAATATTATTATCAATAGGACTTTTTTATTACAGTTTGTATGAAAACTACTACACCGTCGGTTCTTAAGTTAACTATTCAAACACATACTAAGCCAGTATCAGATACGCTACCGTGTGGCATATTATTTTTCTTATCAACAAATATAATATTGCAGTGGTCATTTGCTTATACCGGAAAATGTTAATGACGCACGCCATACGATTTGATTCAGTGATATAATTTTTATAAAAAATATGTACTTGTCTTAAAGAATTTCATATTATATGAATTAAATCTTAACCAAACTAAACAAATGCTATTATAATTGTATGAATTTTTATGACAATTTAATATTTTAGTGAGCACACCTATTGTAATGTGATAAAAATAACATTTAATTGCATGCAAAACTATATTTTTATATAGTGTTCAGATTCACTTGGATATAATTAAATTACCACCATTTATTATTATTTTGGTTTCACCTCATATAATAATTATAACTAGTAATAATAAAAAGCCAACATACTTTGATCTCTTTTAACTTACAAAGTCTTAAAACTCACACATTTTGTAGTACTACTATAAACACATGACACAACACAATATCACCGTTACTGCTAACGGGTTGTATTTGCATAGTTATCAGACATATATCCTTAGCTTTATAAATACCAAATGCTCAAAATTTAACTTTATATTTACCAGAATAAATATCTTACAAGTTATATGCAAATTTTGTACAACATTTATGAGATGCAAAACTATTTCGACGATTGTGTAATAAACTTGGTTAAATAAAAACAAACTATGTATAATGAAGAAAATGTAAATATGATATAGCTTTTTGGAAGACTAACATTAAAACTGTGAGTCATATGTGTATTTAAAATAATAAGGATCATTAAGGGCCTCCCTGTTTGGGTGAGTTGACAAGTCATGGTAGAAACAAAGGTAGCGTTTAGATAAGGAGGTTACCATAAGCAAGCCGGTAAATTAAATGAGTTGTAACCATGTTTATAACATACTAGCTTATGCATATTACATTATGATAAAGCAAGTACTAACATATATAAAACACAAAACTATATGTATGACAAAAAAAAAAAAATAGCAGTGTTAAACCAATTTAGACATTAATAGGCTAGATTGGATTATTATTTGTTGTGATTATTATATATATTCAATATGTACTACAAATTGACAAATTTTTATTATTTAAACCGGCACAAACATAAATATTTATTATCGGATTAATGTATGGTAATGGTTTGCAAATAAATTAATCATATTAAACCGGGCAGCGTCTTGTACATATTTGAATAATTCCTAAAGTGTTATTTCAAGCTTATGTTTGGTTATGAAATATCATGAGTTGAAAGGGTCGTGCCCCGGAAGGCATACTGCAACCTTATCATGTCAGTCTTAATTGTGTTATCTTTGTATTTATGTGCCGCTACCAACACAAATCAATCATCTGTACATTACTTCTGTTGCTGCTATGTTAATTTAATGCAACATTTTCTAACACATTGAACAATGATGCAATATATCAAATAAACACTTTATATTTATGTAAACTGTTGTTATTATGTCATTTACCATATGAATTTGGTGATTTAATGTTAAATATATACATATATGACTTTTAACACTATGTTATGTGAAAATTTTGATTAAAAAGTATTTATATAGCATGTTTATTATATAACAGATAATTAATTCGTGATTAGATCATTTAAAAAAGGAAGACAACAATTCTATAATAAGTATGTCAAAAGTTTTATAAGAGAAATTCGCTGATCCCATCAATTTTATTTCCCAACTAAACTAAACTAGATTTATTTAAGGTTTCATTTTAGTGTTATTAAAAAAAACTTAATACCGTCTTATTGGTCATTCATTGCCAACGGTAAAATTGTGAAGCACCGAAAACGTTCCAAAAATAAAAATTCCGTTTGCTTATCATAATCTTATACATAATTAACTGATAATAATTGTATACAGCAGATATCTAATCTAATATCATGAAAGCATGAGTTCATTGTGTTTGAAGCATTTCATTCATAAACTGCGCGAACTGTCAAAACGAGCAACGACAAAAACAAGGGATTCTACAACCATGTAAATAAAGAATGACACTAATATACATCCCCAACCAGGAGCAAACGTTATATTTTGGACAGAAACTATCGAATCCTTTCACATTAGGAGCCAAGACAGGAAATCTCTAACTTCTTAGGTACCACCTGTTCGACATTATATTCACAACAATACCATAGAAAACCGTGGACATTGCAACTAACTTATGGTAAATTTGATTATATATATTGCATTATACGAATTTAGTTCTCATAAACATTATACATGTAAACATTACATACCAATCTTAATTTTCAATCTTTCTTCTACTCGCACTTTACGCGTTTCGTCCGCCATGTTAAATCCATAACTGTTTATCTCTTTCATCCGCTGTTATCTCTTTCGGAACGAGCCCCTCGGCCGGCTTGTCCCGCCACTTCCGGAGTGTCGTAATGTTCTACTTGGGCCTGTTTTCAACTAGCTCAAGTAACAAAACAGTTACGACCGACACACAAGTCAACAAATTTTATAATTCACATAACTAAACATTTAAATCACATTAAAAAGTGAATTAATATAAGTTGCATTGCGCATGTGCTCAATATGTGCACTTTATTTTATCAATGAATGCATTTTACGTTAAAAAAACACAAATATTCACTTCACAGGAAAATAAAGCTAATTACAACTTTCATATAAGACTTGACTTAAACAGTCGCTATTGTAATTTGATTTACACAACACTTAGTCAATAAAATATTTGTCTCATTGAATGAACAAAAAGTATGAATGGACCATTACGTCACGTCATAACACTGCGCCTGCGCGGCCTCAGATTCGTGCACAGACTACGAGTAACACAAGTTTTCGCCTTCAAAATGACAGCTTTTTCTTTTCTATCGTCATCGTGAAATGGTAAGGCAACACAAGGAAAAAGAAAGAATTTCTTTTCTTAAGAACGGAAAATATAAAGAATTAAAAACGTATAACAATACATTTGAGTAAACTTTGTGATTTTTAATAGGGCAATGCAATATTACTTGATCGAAAATTTGTAAACTAAACTTTTATATACTTATTATTGTTTAGTAAGACAAAGATATTCATCCTTTCAGTTATTTAATTAAATTTCATAATTTTACATAGACTTGAATTTAACCTTAAAGCCTTTAGCAAGATATAAATTGTCATTTATTAAAAACGAACCTTACGGTATTTATAATATAAGTTGGTACTAAAAAACAAAAGCATTTTTTTTTAATTTAAAGTATATAATGAGAAAAATATAGAACATTAACTTTTCTGAACTGAAAACTTTTTTGAAGTAATTACAACAATTTTGGTAACTTATAAACACCATAACAAAAATTTGTAGTTTGAATGAAACTATACTTATCATAATATTTGACAAACAAAGACTCTTCCTCACATGTCATCTGTCATTTTGCATATGTCAAAATACTACATTTATTTATGATTTTTATTTATATTATTTTTAACACATGAAGATAGAAATTTTAAAATTGAATTGAATGTTAATACTTAAGTTATTACTTCTATTGCTTGTATAAGATTAAGTGCAAGGCTATTTTATAAACACAAATAATTTATATGTCTTATTATCTTAACAGAAAGTATCAAGAGCCATTTTATTTATGGATAACTATTCACATACTCTTAGTAATATTATTTACATTGAACAAAACATATTGGGACCCGCAGAGTCTTCTGATGAATATGATAAACTAGTTGGAGAATATAATTCAGAGTTACAACACAATTGTGACTGCACAAATGAATGCAAAGAAAACTGTAAATGTTTAAATATTTCGGGAGGAGTTAATTACTTAAATAAAGGAAAAGATGAAAATGACGTCACATTGATATTAAATAGAAATAAAAGCGATAATTATCCAATATATGAGTGTACAGATTTATGTGCATGTAGAAGAACATGCGGTAACAGATTAGTTCAATTTGGACCCTTACATTCACTTATAGTGAAGCCTGCTCCAATAAAGTCAAAGGGTCTGGGTTTATTCACTGACAAATTAATTCCTGCTGGGACATTTATATGTGAATATGCCGGGGAAATCATCACAAAAACTCAAGCTCTGTACCGTCAAAAGCTAAATAAAACCCAGGGCAATATGAATTATATATTTTGTTTGAATGAATTTGTTGGCGGTAGAGTTAATACAAAATTCATTGATCCTAGTCATTTTGGTAATATTGGACGTTATATTAACCACAGCTGTGACCCTAACTCTGAAATTATACCTGTAAGAGTTGACTGTCCGATACCTAAACTAGCTATATTCAGCCGCATTGATATATTACCTGGTGAAGAAATAACATTTAATTATGGATTAAACAGTATGAGTATTACCGATGAGACTATTGAAAGAGTACCTTGTCTTTGTCGGAGTGCTAAATGTAAAGGCTTTATGCCTTTAGATAGTTATTGATTATTTATAATTATTGTAGCCCAAACATGTTCTAATAAAGATAAGTAAGAAATTCATTAACAATTTGTTATTATTTATTTTTTAACACCAATTGTAAAATTAGTTTTATTGATGAAATATGCTGATCACATTAGTTAAAAACTGGGGTGTAGTCCCACTGTATTTGTAGTACCTATAAATGGACACTTATGAATTATTTTTGAATTCCTGTATCTAAAATAAACATTTAAATGTTTAAAGGAAAACATTTGAAATGCTAGTTTTACTCAGTGATAGCTATGGTGCTAAAATTGCTGTTGTTGAGATGTGATTATGGTCACTATACAGGGTGACTGGTGAATTACTATCAATATTTAAGGAGAATACTCGGTACATGATTCTCATTCGAATTATGTAATAAAAATAGGTACTTAATTTTTGACAAAATTTCCGTATAAATAAATAAAGTGTTGACACGTTCCAAGTGTTCCAGGTGTGGACGCGTGCGGCGGCGTGCTGATACAACACGACGCCGCCGCACGCGTATGTGTGAGTGTGTGTGTATACCTAATCTGTAGGGTGTTCACACGATGCGTAATTAATTACATAACTTCTGGTTAACTTTACTTAGAAGGTTATTAATATTTATGTTATATTAATTTTTATTTTGTCATGTATGATCGTCAAATATCACGTCCTCAAGTATCGATAGTAATTCACCAGTCACCCTGTATATGGCTAAACATGTTAATCTTAATAAGGATGTTATTTTATACTCCTCAAAATCTCTTCAATCAGTAATAAATACTACCATTTAATTTTCATTCATGTATCCCAACATAATATATAAAACGGCAAATTAAATACATGTTACTCACTTATACTCCAAGATTGCAGGTGAAGAATAAAAAATAAACATTTTGTTTAACATTGGAGCCTACTGTCAATTGGAACATGTATTTATGATCTAAATATAATCAAATTAATTTGATAAAAAAATGTGTGCTGGAACTAAATATGTAAAGGTCATCAAATAAATAATTTCTGTAGGTGGTAGCTGTGGTCTAGTTATTGCAGCTCGAACATGGGCTGGTTCTACCAGGGAAGTCCCACCATCTCACAGAAGATAGGCGTGAAGTAGCCTTTAATGGTTGCATTTTGTCCCATGAGTGAGAGAGCCGGTTCCCGGTTGCCGGTGCCCTTTCCCTTTTCCCATAATTCCTACCCCTTCCCTTTTTCCTCCCTTTCCTAATTTTGCCTTCCCTTCTTCCCTAATCAAGGATGCGTCAATCCAAAACATCTCTTGTGTTGCGGATGTCAATGAGCGACGGTATTACCTCCATCAGGTAGGCGGTTTGCTCTGTTGTTTGCTATAAAAAAAAATATCTCTTTACCAAAACAAAAAATGGAGAACGATGAAATGTGGTTTTATGCCACCACAATATTAAAGATTTTTTTGAGTGATATAGGTATTAGTCCAGAAAATTAAACAAAAATTATATTACCTAGGGTGCAATTAAGATAATCTGTTTCTATATAATGCACAAAAAAAAATTACTAAGACTTCAGATGTATGTATGTGTGACTAAAATGAATAAGTAACAAGTAAAAGTTTAAGAATCTGGTTAAATATATCTAGCCTGTGGAGATAAAAAGATTGTCTTGAAATACCAAGCTTCTAAGCTTGAAATACCAATTCAAATGTGGGGGTCTAAAATTACTATTTAATAAATATAATAATAATAGCATTACCATAGCTGATACAATTTATTAATAATATCTATTGTCATTTAAATTTCTTATTTTCGTTCCGACTAATTCTTTTAATATATCTATGTCTTTTTAGAAATACAGTTTTAATCCTATGTGCCCTGGAATCTCGTTTGGAGTAATTGTTTGGACTTTGGGTTAACATTTTGATCTATTTAAAGAGCACTTTTTTCTTTGAGGCATATCTGTGACAAAATTTTGTGAAGCCGTGTTTATTTAATATTATTCTTCTGTTGTAAATAAAAATATAATACAGACAAAATAATTTAAATTTACTAAGTGCATACCTATTTATTCCAGCATTTAAGATGTTGGAACCGCATTGTTAGATAATGCGATTTTTTTCTTACTTACGTACTTAATATAATTTTTTTTTCTCTTTATTTTTTAGGGAGGGTTTTTTTTATTTAAAAAATGTCACCCTTATAGTGCTACAATTCATACTTCCTTATTTAATTACTACATATCTAAACTTAAATTACTATATATTATTACCTACGCTGAATGCCTTTTAAAACAACTTTATATAATTCTTTAGCAGCGTCGGATAACGGATTTGACAAAACACTATTGTAATACCCTGTTTCGAATGTGAAATTGTATTTCCGCAAAAAGACCATTCTTTCAGCCTCGTTCCGTACACATTCCGTAATAATATGCACAGGATCTTCTCTTACGCCACATACAGAGCAATGTGATGAAGATACTTTACCCATTAAAAAACTGAAGCTATTTAAGGGAATATGTCCAGAACGAAGCCTTAGGGCTGTTACAATTTCACTTCTGCTCATATTTGCTCCATCAATCCAAGTGAAACCAGAAGGTTGCGATTGGATTGTTTTATACCAAATGCCTCTAGAAAGTGATCGCTCGTCAAAAAATTCTTTCCATAAATTTCTACAATGTACTTTAACACTAAATATTATATCTGTAAAATAAGGTTCGTAATTAAATAAAATACCCTCCACTGACGCTTTTTTGGCTAACCTATCGACAACCTCATTACCTATTAGGCCGACATGAGCAGGAATCCACTGTAACACTACATTTTTATTGTATTTATTTTGAAGGTTACGTATAGAATCCATAATGGCATAGGCTATCGTTGCACCTCGAAAAGTCGAGGAGCATCGAGCCAAATGCTGCAAAGCACTTTTTGAGTCAGACAAA